CTGCTTACAAACGTTAGAAACAGTGCATCACTAAATATATGAACCTTCTGTAGCAGTAGGGGCAGAAGTTTCTTCTACTGCGTTGGCAGTTTGACCACCCACGAACATTTCACAGTTACCGTGGAACGCCATTTATCGCTCACAAAACACAGGCGAGTTGGAATTTTGTGGAACCAAGCGCACAGAGGGGTGTCTCGTCCACTACAGACGATTCAAGTAGCGCACTCCCAGGCCTGTATCTTGGCCATCAACCACCTCACTCATACGGATCTTGCCGAGGGCACTAACCTCAACAAAATCTCCTCCTGATCGTACCATCTGACCACATGTCGCCACTGCTCCGCGGTAATCTCCATGAGATGACTGCTCAGAACATTGCCATAGCAGTTTCCGGGTGGCGAACGACAACTAATACAGTACAAAATCAACGATAAAATATCAGTCAATGTAGAATATTAAAGGAGCCATTGGGGGTAGATATTTCGAGAAAAAATATCCAAGAACGAACCTTCCCTGTGGCTAATCTCGGGCGCAAGTTCGCAACCTAGTCGATCTTTTGCCTCTTCCGCTTTATGGAGTGCAACCTGGAAAAAGCGTCATCACTGAGGCTTCCCGATAAATTTTTTGATAAAAAGGCACTCACCGGTGTTCGATTCACTGAAAGGATAGAATTTATCAGCTGATGGAATCGGTCCATAATTGCCTGATCCTCAGGGGACAACACTACCTAAAAATGCAAACGAATTTAGAGATTGCTCATTGAGACCTAAACAAACAAACAAATTTCTCCACCTGTGGTACTTCGCGGTGCTCTTGATGTTGATGAGTTGAAGCGCTCGAAGGAGGTCGCACAGGAGCACCACTTCCTACACCAGGCAGGCCATTGGGAAGAGTTACTGTTGGTTGTTCAAGCGGTTTCCAGTTCACCTTAAAGCAATGGCTTCTCTGAGGGAGAGAACTTGGGATTAACAAAGAGACAACTAAATGATTCTATCCAAACTAGTCGCGCTTTGGTAACCTAAAAATGTGGGGACGAAACCAGAAGCTGAATAATTCAGACTGAATTCTCTATCTTCACGGCAAAATGTGCCAATGGAGATTGCCAATGAGGATCAAGTCAGCGATAGATCATCTTCCCTTCAACACAAAAGTACCTATGCACTTATTTTGATGCACTTATTAGTAGATCACAGGATATTTTTGAATCTTTCCCAATGAGGGGAAGCGCGGGCGTTGCGACGCTTCGGGGAGGAAAAGCTTCCGCCGCCTTCTGTAGTAATTCTAATTTTTTCCAGGAGACGGAAGGTAGGGCCACGGGTTAAAAGTGTAATGACAATGGTAGAGCGCACCTAGGCAAGGAGCTATCGCAAAAATTCGAACACTCGAAGAATGCAGCAGAAGCTATCGCGGCCCAACTTCCCGTCGCTCCCTCCTCCGCTGGCTGTACACCACTACTCTATAAACTTCAAGTCCAAAAGGAAATTCAGCTCGAGGCAAAGTAACATAGCAAGAGGAAAATTATTGCTTGGCAGTACCGTGCTCCAACTCTACTGCAATAGTCCCTGAGAGCCAGAACCAGTACTTCAGTAGCGACGAAGAAACTATTGTGAAACAACCTGTATTATAAATCATTCAGGATTTTTTGTAGCACGATTCCTTTGCTTCACCAGCGAAGGTAAACAGAGTCAACGGGGCGTAGGGTGGTTAAATGTGTACAATTTTTCGAAGGTTCAATAGCTTGCAAGGTTTAATCATCTTTGCAGAAGACGACAACCCAGCATGTATTTTCCGTATTTCTTATAAAAAAAAAAACAGAGTTAGTATATAAGTGGTGACAGGCGAATCAGAAAAGCAGCTGCCTTTAGGTGTCACTAATGTTAAGGGACACTTCCGATGAGAAATCCCAAAAAAATGGATGAATTACGATCGGACATGTGGCGAAAATTTACCACCGGAATATATCGAAATATTTCCGCAAAGGGCTGGTTGTTCATTAAAATAAAATCGCAGGGAAGAAAATTAAAATTGAACTACGCGCTTCAATAAACAGAGATTTACCTCATCCAATATTATTCCTCCCTAATTCCTTGCCGGCTCTACAGGGGTGGGGGGGGGGAACATGGTCGCACAAAAACACCACGAATTAAACACGGCCATGCCTGATTCCGATGTTGTGGATACTTCAAAGACACGGGACAAAGCTCTTCACCCTCCCCCCCTTCATATGGTGCCAGTGACGAAACGTACCTCAAATACCGGTGCTGCTGGAGGAGTTGGTCTGCGCGTAGTCAGCGGTGGAGGGTCGTTCCATGCATGAGTTGATGTCTCCTGAGAAAATAATCAAAATGAGGCAGGTAAAGTGGAATCATTTTAGATTGCTTCTCGTAGGCGAGAATGAAAGTAACAAAAATTTGTGCCTTAGATGCCTTAGAAAAAAAGGTAAAAAGTTACCTTACTATCGCCACCACTTCCTCCAACTGGCGAAACGGTAGAGCTCTTCTGTAAATCACTGATTCAATGACAGACTTGATTGCGAAAAAAAAACTTTTTTCAAGCCTGCTCACCGAGGAGTACTCCGTGGATGCGATCGGAGGTGTCGGAGCGTAATTTCCTTGTGGAAGATTGTTTGCATAGTTATAATTATTACTGGGCATATTAGAAAATGATGCAGGTGTTACTGGTGGAGGTGGCACCGGAGCTTGAATTGGATTGAAACCAGGCACCATGGGTGGTTGACCATACATCGAGCCAGAGGAGGTTGATTGGAAACCAGGGACAGGTGGAGGTCCTGGAGGTCCAGGTATGGTCGGAGGAGGAGTGGGAGCGTAACCAGCTCCACTATACTGCTGATAAGCAGGAATAGGTGGAGGTACAGGCAGTGGTTGTTGGGTCGTCGGGTAATTAGAGTAAGGCTGGCTCGGGTACATAGGTGGCCTTGGCGGCATGCCCGAATGCTGTGTGGCAGTGAAGGGTTGACGATTCTGAGAGGAGTACGAGTAAGCCGATGGCGATGATGCTGGAGCGGTGGAGGATGGAGAGAATATAGGATTCCGTTGCTGAGATCGCTGAAAAAAGTGAAACTAATAGGTTGCTTTAACTCTTCTGAGCGAAAAAATGTGAGAAAATGAATATCGATCGTACGCGCGTCAAATCAATACCTATTTCAAAGCATGCGCGCTAATGGAGCTAAGTGATACATTCAAATAGGATAAGAGTAAAAGCAGTAATTTGATGACAACGAAAACAACCAAGGGAATCATACCGAAGGATGAAGGGCGTTGTTAATAGCTTGGATGCCCTCATTTCGCGGTTTCTCCGGTTCCTTGCTCATCGTCCTCTCTTCACCACCACATATCGAGAAGAGGTCATGACGGAGGGCCAACAGCCGCTGTAATGAGAGATGTTCAAAACGGTACAGATGAGGAGAAGCGCAGCAGAAAGACAGAAGCAGCGTACCTCATCTTTGATCTTGAGATTGCACAGTGTTTTCCACGCAACATCACTAACTCCTCCATCGATTAGTTTTTCGCAATAGCTATAGAGAAGCTGAAAAGAAAATCGATTTATAAAGGGTTAAATCAGGAAAACCATATCCCAAATGTGGTTGTTCAAGATCATTCAACAACCTCTACCTGCCATCACATAAGTTGGTTCACTGTGTAGCGCTTCCTGAGCTCTACCTCTAGAGTCCTGAGCTCTACGCCAAACCTTTCTTACAATTGCTAACCCCCTGTT